AACTACAAGTTAGGTCATAACACCATGTTTTACACTCAGTATCTGTGTAACACACACTTCTGTATAGGAGATTATAGTATGACTGGTAAATTTCTCCAATACCTTTATAAATACTGTTCACCAACACCCCTGAAAATACACTGACAACCAATAAATACCCCTGATAAGTAGTGACCACCTATATACCCCTCATAACTAGTGACTACTATACCAACCGCCAATACCTTTATAAATACTGACCACCAACACCCCGGAAAATACACTGACAACCAGAACTCCTAAAGTTCTCTGTTATGCCCGATTTTATGTTGATGTGTTCTTTTATATATGGGAATGCAGTTATGACACTAAGAAGTGAATTTGGCATGTCACTCCAGCCAAAAAAGTATCAGTACATACAGAAGTTGTTTTGACCTAGACAATATGGGTGTGTGATATTCAGAGTTGACTTTTAGAGGTTTGGGTGCATGCACGTGTCTGTACTAGTTACCCATGTGATGGATGCCATTCTCGGTGTATGTAGGTATGGCTCCAGGCCTTAAAGTCTGCAGCAGACAGCCCACTCTGTAGTACCTTCAGGTATATCATTTATAACTCCAACTGGTATTACAGTGCCCTTCTCTAGCGTGTCACATTGGGAAACTTCACAGTCTGTATGCTGTAATAATAAATAGGACTGAAATGATGCATTTTCTCATGATACAATACATAACTTTATACAAGACAATAGGTATTGTTATCAATATCCAAAAGCTAAATGATAAAACAGAATATAGCCTCTTTGTTGGGATTTTCATGCCTTAGATCTTTATAGTCTATATCTGCAACTAATCCAAAGTAGCATTTTCCTGAGGCTAACCTTAATTTGTGTCCTTTATTTTCAACGGCAATAGATTTTTTTTTGTATGCCCTTATTTATTGGTTATTGCCATTGCTTTGACACAACTGAAACGTAGAGGCTTCAACATAATTTCACTTAGATGGGAGAAAATGCTTCATTGCCAGATTTTCTTTTATCTACAGAGGGTATGGCCTCAATGTTATAGGTAATTGATGTTAATCCTATACAACCTAAGATCAGTTGACAAGTTTTCTTATATCTACAGAGGGTATGGCCTCAATGTTATAGGTAATTGATGTTAATCCTATGCAGCCTAAGATCAGGTGACAAGTTTGCTGCGGTTCCTTGCATTATGTTGCATCTTCCTACTAATTATTTGTTGACTATTACCTTCACATTCAATGTTTCCTACCAGATACCAAAACGCTGCCATGCTGCAGGCGATTTGAAGTGTCATTCTACTTTAGTTTATTATGTGATTGGGTGTGTATTAGAGCTCACATCAGCAGTAGTAACACTGGGTCTAAATTTGATAAATGTATTGGCCTTGAAGAGTCTGTAGCAACTAAAACATGAAATAAACTTCCAGTGAATGAACAATCCCCATCACTTTTCTTCAGAAACATACAGGTTATACTCTACTGTCCTACAGACATACAGGTAATACTGTCCTACAAAAATACAGGTGCGTAGTACTCAACTGTCTTACTGACATACAGGTAATAGTAACTGTCCTACAAAAATACAGGTACGCAGTACTCTACTGTCATACAGACATACAGGTAATAGTAACTGTCATACAGACATACAGGTAATACTCGACTGTCCTACAGACATTTAGGTAATACTCTACTGTCCTACAGACATACAGGTAATACTCTACTGTCCTACAGACATATAGGTAATACTCTACTGTCCTACAGACATATAGGTAATACTCGACTGTCATACAGACGTACAGGTAATACTCTACTGTCCTACAGACATACAGGTAATACTCGACTGTCCTACAGACATAGAAGTAATACTCTAGTGTCCTACAGACATATAGGTAATACTCTACTGTCCTACAGACATACAGGTAATACTGTCCTACAAAAATACAGGTGTGTAGTACTCAACTGTCTTACTGATATACAGGTAATAGTAACTGTCCTACAAAAATACAGGTATGCAGTACTCTACTGTCATACAGACATACAGGTAATACTCGACTGTCCTACAGACATATAGGTAATACTCTACTGTCCTACAAACATATAGGTAATACTCGACTGTCATACAGACATACAGGTAATACTCTACTGTCCTACAGACATACAAGTAATACTCTAGTGTCCTACAGACATAAAGGTAATACTCTAGTGTCCTACTGACATACAGGTAGTACTCTACTGTCCTACCGACATACAAGTAATACTCTAGAGTTCTACTGACATACAGGTAATACTATAGTGTTCTACTGACATACACATAATACTCTAGTGTCCTAATGACATACAGGTAATACTATAGTGTTCTACTGACATACACAAAATACTCTAGTGTCCTAATGACATACAGGTAATACTGTCCTACAAAAATACAGGTATGCAGTACTCTACTGTCATACAGACATACAGGTAATACTCTAGTGTTCTACTGACATACACATAATACTCTAGTGTCCTACTAACATACAAGTAATACTCTACTGTCCTACAGACATACAAGTAATACTCTAGTGTTCTACTGACATACAGGTAGTACTCTACTGTCCTACAGACATAGAAGTAATACTCTAGTGTCCTACTGACATACAAGTAATACTCTAGTGTCCTACTGACATACAAGTAATACTCTAGTGTCCTACTGACATACAAGCAATACTCTAGTGTCCTACTGACATACAGGTAATACTCTAGTGTCCTACTGACATACACATAATACTCTAGTGTCCTACTGACATACAAGTAATACTCTAGTGTTCTACTGACATACACAAAATACTCTAGTGTCCTACTAACATACAAGTAATACTCTAGTGTTCTACTGACATACAAGCAATACTCTAGTGTCCTACTGACATACAAGTAATACTCTAGTGTTCTACTGACATACACATAATACTCTAGTGTCCTACTGACATACAAGTAATACTCTAGTGTTCTACTGACATACAAATAATACTCTAGTGTCCTACTGACATACAGGTAATACTCTAGTGTCCTACTGACATACACGTAATACTCTAGTGTCCTACTGACATACACGTTATATTCTACTGTCATACAGACATACAAGTAATACTATACAGTTCTACAAACATACAGGTAGTACCCTACTGTCATACAAACATACAGGTAGTACTCTACTGTCCTAGAAACAAACAGATAAGCTGTCCCATAATTGAGTTCAGTTATATTCACCCTATATCTCAATGAGAGACACTTCATGTTCAAGGCTGCTATAGTTTGATGACTTAAGTTCATTGTCAGGAATCCTCTGGATGTGGCAGATACAGGGGTAGTAGAACTACAATATAAACATACATTATCACCTGGATCTTATTCCTTTGCCAAATCCCTATACAGTGTGAACAGGCATTCTAGCTTGTTATAGCAAATGTTTACTAGTGATGATTTGAGGATAATGAAAAAATGTTTATTCAAACATAATTCTGTTTTTAATCTTTGTTAAAGTGCTTGTTCCTTCAAAAGTAAACAGACAGGTTTATCATTATCTAGGTCTGATTACAGTTGATTGTGCCTGTATACCCCGTGTGATGTAAAGAATACCCGGCCATTCGGTGCAGGCCTCAGTCAGGAAGGCATCAGCTTTCATTTTCACATGAGTTTTCATCTTTACTGTTCTACATGCCCAGTGATAGCTAGGAAGTAATCTGTGGCTCTGTAGTTAGATAGTGCACTAGTTCTGCTTCTCACAGATGTATGTCAATAAAAAAAGATGTAAGTCTCCAAGATAGTGGTCATCTCTTTGATTCAGTTCAGATCACCAGTGTGTTGGGTATAGAGAGGATACATAGTAAAGGTTTTAGAGGTTAACGTTCCTCAGACCTGGTTAAGTAAAACAGCAGTGTTCCCTTGTATCCAACTAAAGATGTACTGATTGACAAAGAGGTGTTTATAAAATATTGCAGCCTAGCTTTTGATGTAGTAGTTACTGCGATGTTTGGACACGATAGAATCTCGGCTTTCACTTGTCTAACTTAGGGGCTTGTTGCTTCTAGGTCACAGTGCAATTAAAAAAGAATACTTAGTGAAAATTAATGGGACAATTGGAAGCACTTATTCATATTTATGCTAAACTTGTGTGTGATATGGGGTGTTTTGGTGATACTGCTAGTTGTGTATAGGCGATATCCTGAACCTTATCAGCCTGGCATAAGCCATATCTGTTTAACTTTGGTTCAACACATTTCACTAAAATTACGCCTTGATTACACTTTTTGTGTCATTTCTGACGATTTGGATGCTGTACAAAATATTGACATGTAGTTTATGGTAAAAAGCTTATAATATGACTATTTCCATATTCTTCCTAGTATCAACCCTCGACCCATATAAGCATTCGGGGTGGTATCGAGGTCTCTAGTTGATACAGGGTAGGATATGGAAATTATCAAATGGTAACCTATGTCCCATCATATTTGACAAACAAATTCCATCACACATATCCCCTTGTACATATCCCATTGTATACCTTCATCAATATTCTTTTAAACATATGTTTATATATATCCTTTAGTTTAAGTAAGACCTCAGTGCATTATATCAGCAGTGTACCAGTAGTGTATACACATTCACTCATTACATGCTGGATTAGCTAGGCTAAGCCCAGGAGTTATTAAACCAGAAGACTTGTAGTCATTATCCTAAGTTTATCCTGGCAAAAAGTTTACGATGAAATTTAACAAGGAAATTGAAAGTCAAAAGAAAATTAGTAGATATTAAAAAAAATCATTGTGCTGAGGATGTTAAGTTTGAAATGTAATAATAAATCACCTATGTCAACAAGAATTCAAGGTTTGCATCCTCTGACAATAATTTTGTTCTGATTGTGTAGTGTTCTAAAGCCTGTGCAGGTTGTATAATCCGTTCTGATCTGGTCAGTTGGATGTGTGATTAGCGTGTATAACCTAGCCTGATCCTACTTCCAGGTGTGTAGTGGTCCTTATCAACAAAGGCAAGCAGTCACACATACTCAACTTCTCAAAGAAAACCCTCACATCGCTTGCATTTTCGCCAGATGGGAAACACATCGTCACAGGGGAGGTAAGTAGAGACACAATGTGCCAGGGGAGGTAAGTGTCGACCTCTATGTAGGTAAATATAAATAATTTATACCAGTATCATTACTAGAGTTTCAGTTGTTGTTTTTAATGAACATGACTAGTATTGTACAATCTTGTCACTAATAGGATAAAGAGTCTCATGTATAAATTAATTTAAATCCTGGAACATGACATCCATAAATGTTTCATGTTATGTAATATTATTGTGAACAATTTGACTTTTTATGTAAATACTGCTGACGTAGGTAAACCATAAGAACTGCTTGCTAACTCAGCTGTTTTCAGTTGTAACAATCCTCCTTGACATTTGTTGGTCCAGCAGTATACATTGTGTGTAGGATTTATAGAAGTGGTGTATATTATGTGTATCTATAAAGAGAAATGTTGGGATGCTCGGTCTATCTATGCATGAATAAATCAATGGTTTATTGCACATCTTTTATTTGAAAATTGATTGTTTGATTGAATGAAATAGATATGAAATAAAGCCATCTGTGGAAATAAACAGCAAACTATCTGTTACAAGACAAAAGGTTTTATTTTTATTATCCATTGATTTATAAACTTGATGAGTCAAAATCAGCGACATATGTTTTGTAGCGTGATAGATGACACGGAAGAATTCCTGTACACTTCCTCGACTTATCAAATGTAGAACATCTTACCTGTGCAATGTAAAGAACTATAGTTAGCATGTCTATTGTGTGCTGAATTAGAATAACTTGATGAAATACAACAGATTATAGGGTATTGATCAACACAGATTCAATGTTGGGTGTGTTACGGTAGAGGCTTTTCATGTATGTTGTTTTATTCTCCACCTCACAGAGCGGGCACCACCCAGCAGTCCGGGTGTGGAATGTGGAGGAAAAATCACAAGTTTCGGAGCTCCATGGTCACAAGTTTGGAATTAATTGTGTGGTAATGATTTTATATTAAATTGTTTTGCACATGAGCTTCAACAACTTTCAATTTACTTGATTTTTAAGCCGCTCTTGGCGAGAGCCGTTTGTCCAGAAAACGAAATGACGAACCCACTTCCGTTCGGGGTGCGTGCGCATAATTCAGTCTTGCATGCTTCCGCCATATAGTTTTGTTATCGTAGGAAGTAGAATCTCTGACATTCACCTGTGGGTTACATACAGTCTTCTGATACTCTTCTCCAAATAATTATCCATACTTTAAATAATTGCTGAAAACAAAATGTTTATCTCCCCGGTGCATTCTACGAGTGTTGTGGTGTTGAAATTCGTGCACTGGGTTTGAGCGTTTTAGCAACTCGGATTGAGGTCTGAGGAGGTTTACGCGTGTGAAACACATATGAATCGAAAAAGCACATGTGAAGCCTGTCAAGCATTGGCGCTGTCTGTAGAAGGAAGAAGTAAATATATATACTTATAAACTGTATGCGTGATGAAGTATAACCTTTACTTTGATGTTTCAAACGGGAACGTAATATGACATATCGTGCTTAGGTTGATAACGGCAATGGCTCTTGAGACGAGACGATATATGTGAACTGTGTATGCTTATCAAACATTTCTGTAACACAGTATGCTTTTTCTGGTGTATTTATTTATGCAAATGTAACAATTTAAGAACATGACACAACTGCCACTGCTGTTTGACAAGAATTCGCGCCGTGTCAAATATTATCAAATCCGGTGTAAAGGAAATAACTCTTATGTTGGTAAAGTCGCATTGAGAGATATAATTCAAACATATTCCAAGAACATTTGTAAGATTTTGTACATTCAATGACAGTAAATAAAGTCACTACATATATTAATAATTATTATTAATATGAATAAAAAATAAATCAAATTAAAAGGAGTACAATGTCTCTTTTCTCTTTGCATGTTTTCCCACTTCTGTTAATTATCTTTCATTTCACAAGCACAAATGCACCTATTCTTTATTATCCATTCACCGATTGCCATTATGCACGTAAATGCTCATGTCACATCATCGGAGGATGCTAATTAATGAAAATGATAACAATGCGTCACACATAAAAATGGTGAAAAAGAGGAGAGGGAGAATGTTTTTAAAGCATCATTTAAGAGGTGATTGATTTTGGAAATTCCAAAGGCAACATCATCACATGACCAATCTGTTATCAGTATCCCCTCCTGAATTTTTTTCCTGGTTGGAAAATCCCATTCAGTCACGATAATTTACCAATTTACTTGAAAAGTTGCCTATTATGGCTATTTTGGGGCAGAATTTTGAAAGGTTCTACAATCATTCCAATTTTCCCAAATTGCTAAACACCTAAGACGCATTACCATTTAAACAATTTGTTTATGAAGACTAAAGCTTATCTCGTGTAGTTGAAATAGAGAAAAAACAAAATAAGACAAATCATGTAAATAAACCACACTATTTTTATGGTTCAAGCCATCAGCTTTGGTTTAAGTGACAACTTCACACAAGTTCTCATGAGTTTGTACTGGTTCTCTGTATCGTTCGTCCAAATCAAAATGGCGGTGTTTGATCTCGACGATTTTCTTCAATGTTCATATGAATGATTTGTCAGTTAAATTACTCGTGGAAAGGACGAGTAGGTGGAGAAAAGATTGAGTCACTGTTCTACGGCCTTGTGTTTACAGAATGAGGATGACTTACGATGTGTGTTAGATATTTCATTTCTTATATGGATGAAGAAATTGTTTTGGAAGTTCAACTCATTTTACCTTTTATGTAATTGTTGCTGACCTTAGCCCATTTATTTTCATCTTCTCAGGCATTCTCACCCAACCTGAAGTACCTGGTGTCTGTTGGCTCACAACATGACATGATAGTTAACGTCTGGAACTGGAGGACTGCAACCAAGGTGGCCTCCAACAAAATCTCCAGCAAAGTAAGTCACCAGCTTAATGAACACATTGACAGTAACACCGCCACAGTGGTAGTCATAATGAACACATTGACTGTAACACCGCCACAGTGGTAGTCATAATGAACACATTGACAGTAACACCGCCACAGTGGTAGTAGTAATGAACACATTGACAGTAACACCGCCACAGTGGTAGTCATAATGAACACATTGACAGTAACACCGCCACAGTGGAAGTCATAATGAACACATTGACAGTAACACCGCCACAGTGGGAGTAATAATGAACACATTGACAGTAACACCTCCACAGTGGTAGTAATAATGAACACATTGACAGTAACCCCGCCACAGTGGTAGTAATAATGAACACATAGACAGTAACACCGCCACAGTGGTAGTAATAATGAACACATAGACAGTAACACCGCCACAGTGGTAGTAATAATGAACACATTCACAGTAACACCGCCACAGTGGTAGTAATAATGAACACATAGACAGTAACACCGCCACAGTGGTAGTAATAATGAACACATAGACAGTAACACCGCCACAGTGGTAGTAATAATGAACACATTGCCAGTAACACCGCCACAGTGGTAGTAATAATGAACACATTCACAGTAACACCGCCACAGTGGTAGTAATAATGAACACATTCACAGTAACACCGCCACAGTGGTAGTAATAATGAACACATTCACAGTAACACCGCCACAGTGGTAGTAATAATGAACACATTGCCAGTAACACCGCCACAGTGGTAGTAATAATGAACACATTGACAGTAACACCGCCACATTGGTAGTAATAATCTTGTACATTTCCAAGTTGGGTGTAATTCTGTGTGATTAATGTTAATTATTGGTTATCTAAGGCGTGAGGGGGGGTATTGAATTCAATTCTGATGTTTTGTTCTAATGAAAAGAAAGGGCTTTTCATGTGAGGAACAAAACGGCTAACAAACTTCTACAGAATGTTGTTTGGTGTGAAACAGAAATTATCTCCCTTTGGTGTATTCATGGATTAAATTAAATTTAATTTTAGGGGAAAAAAGGTAACAAATTGTATAATTGAAGGTAATGACCACTTACTGCTTATTCGTGTTGATGTATAAGAGTGTTTAACTTTTTTACATTGTAGGTGAATGCTGTAGATTTCTCAGAGGATGGATCCATGTTTGTGACTGTTGGAAACAGACATGTGAAGTTTTGGTACCTGGACAGCAGTAAATCAAGGGTATATAATGATAATCTGCTATAGAACCTGGTGTATACGTTACCTCACTCTAGCCGGATCCTAAGCTACTATAGTTTTACACTTACATAGGATCCTGCATTACTGGTCATGTTCTAGTGACAGTTTAATCTAGCCCAACAGTGTGACACTTCAAACTTCTCTGTGTCAGAAATCCCAGGTGTACCCCTTAACATGTGTGTATGACAGGAAAGAGGACCTAACCTCTATGTGGCATCACCACGTCATATAACATCCTGTTATAGTATAATGTGTAGGATATCATTCTGGATTTTATAAGCTGGATTTAGTCTCATTACTATACATAATAACAACCTGCAAAGGAAGACAATTTTTTTGACTCGTACCCTGCTTGGTTTTGAAATATGAGCTACATGGCGTTCATAGCTATGTAATAAGTGTATTATTATTTTGTGGTTTAAATAATGTGTTGAATTTGTATTTAAATAGTGTCAGTGTTGTATTTAAAGTTATCATTGTCTGTTATAGTGAGTTTTGAGGGTGGTGAGAAGGTAATTATCATTTACTGTTACAGATCAATGAGACTGTACCACTCCAGGGCCGCTCTGGGATCCTTGGTGCACAGAAGAACAACTTCTTCTGTGATGTTGTTTGTGGTAAAGGGAGGATGTCAAAAAGTGTCTTCAGCATAACACAGTCTGGACTGCTGTGTGAATTCAACGAAAAACGACTACTAGACAAATGGGCAGAGTTACGGGTAGGTGTATAAATAGTTAACATTCATTTACAAATTGGCAGAGTTACGGGTAGGTGTATAAATAGTTAACATTCATTTACGAATGGGCAGAGTTACGGGTAGGTGTATAAATAGTTAACATTCATTTACAAATTGGCAGAGTTACAGGTGGGTGTATAAATAGTTTACATTCATTTACAAATGGGCAGAGTTACAGGTGGGTGTATAAATAGTTAACATTCATTTACGAATGGGCAGAGTTACAGGTGGGTGTATAAATAGTTTACATTCATTTACAAATGGGCAGAGTTACAGGCGGGTGTATAAATAGTTAACATTCATTTACAAATGGGCAGAGTTACAGGTAGGTGTATAAATAGTTTACATTCATTTACAAATTGGCAGAGTTACAGGTGGGTGTGTACCCTTGGTAAATTGTCAATACTTTCTATTGAGTTGTACTGGCTGTAAAATATTAGGGTTTTATTTAAACAAATTATCAAATGGTCAGATTTACTATATTTTTGGAAATTGAAACGAAATATGAAGATTGAGCTGTATGATTGTCGTATTTCATGTTGTGATGTCCTTGAATAGGACCTGTATAGTTACGGCTCTACTGTTACATTACAGACGCCCAGTGCCAGCTGTCTGTTGTCCTTGCTGTATAGGACCTGTATAGTTACATTGTATGTGATGGCTCTACTATTATGTTGCAGACGCCCAGTGCCAGCTGTCTGTCAGCAGGAGAGGACCATATATTTGTCGGCTGTGCCAATGGTGTGGTGCGGGTGTTTAGTGGCAGGAACCTGCACTTCCTGGTTTCACTGCCCCGCCCTCACCACCTCGGTGTAGACGTAGCCTCAGTACTCAGTCCCAGGTAAACCCTTCCTTCTATTCTTCTTTCCTATCCCACCACTATAGTGCCTCATCTGTTAGACTGTGCTCTCCTTCATTTTCCTCACCAAGTCTTTGTTGTCAGCCCCCTCTTTGGCTGTGCTTTCCTTCCTTTTTCACTCCATCTCACCCACCTTCTAACTCCTGTGTAAGTCTCTATTGTCAGTCTCTGTAGGTCAGGCCGTTCTTCCTTACTGACCATAATTCCCCAATGTTAGCCCTTAATCCATATCCCAGGAGCAATCCCCCTACTTTGTCCACCTCACCTCCAAATATCAGACATATATCAGTTCCTACAAAACTGAGCTCTTTAGCCCTGTGTGCTACCCAGGGTAGGGTCTCTGTTGCAGTTCCCCAAAATGCTGCCTTCTTCCGTTTAGCCCACACTTCTCTTAAGTATTATTGTATGATATTGAAAACAATCACAAAAATCCTAATTTCCTCTCCTGCTTGGTAATATTAACACCTCTCAATCCTTTGTACACCAAAAATTTTGTTGTATTCTTTGTAAAAATTTGATGGAAAACAGGATTAACACATTCACCCATGGAAACTCATTTTAACTATTCCAATTCAAAGGTTGGAATAGTTCATTGTGAAATTTCAGGGGTGAATGAGTTAAAACTATTGGTTTGTTAACTTCTCTTTATTTGATCAATGTTTATATTGGAGTCGGTAATCGATGGCTTTCTGTGCATATGTAACATAAGTTACCATATTTGTTTGTAGTCAAATTCTGCCAAGTAAAGAGGGTTCCAAGTTTCCGGACACGATTGGACTGGTTTATGATGACGCACACAAGAAGGTAAAATTTGCACTTTTCTCATGCTGTTTGTGAAATATCGAAGACAATGTTTATGATAATTTAAGTTAATAAGTATTCTTCATTTGTCATGAAATACAATTGAAGGCTTGATATAATAAAGATTTGTGTATTTGACTTCAGACGACATGTATCTATAATGACCACAGTGTCTATGTGTGGGACGTCCATGATGTGAAGAAGGTGGGCATTGTGAGATCCTTTATGTACCACAGTTCCAGTATTTTGGGACTAGAGGTGAGTGAACCAGGCCTGCATAAAGGGGCATAACTCTAACAAAATATATTTTTATTAATTTTCTTTTAAATAATACTAGAGCTTTTTTACAAGGATTGATTTTAGTCAAGTTTCTTTTGTTTAAAAGCTGAATGTCAATATGTTTTACATATTCTTGGTATTGCTAGGAAATGTTAATTAACACACCTCGACACTGACCAATGATTACCTGGGAATAGTGACTCTACATAGGCTCTCATTGATATGTGTTTCACAATACCTGGGTATATTGATTTTCCTTGACCAATGCCTTACCTGGTTATATGGATTTTAATTGATCAATGTCTTACCTGGGTATATGGACTTTAATTGATCAATGTCTTACCTGGGTATATGGACTTTAATTGATCAATGTCTTACCTAGGTCTTACTCAGTTAACTTTTCGATATTAAGTTTCTTTGACAGTGGGGTCAGCATAAGAGGAAAGAAACATTCACTTGGGTATTTGAAATAAATTGGTTACACAGAGATCCTTCGAGAAGTCTACTTTCTAGATGCTACTTTTTTTTGTAGACTAGAACAGTGTCTCCCTAAATTTGAAGTGTAAATATCTTTCAATCCTTTTCAGCCGTTCAGTTTACCTGAACTATTTCCTTGTGCAATATCAATACTCAGTACAAGTGAAAAAGTCATCCAACCACATTCCATACACTGTTTATACCTTAAGGCACACATTTGTGAGACACCATACACAAATCATTTCACATTTAACTTTAGGTTCTCATAGCTTCATCCACCCTGATCATACCATGAACCAATGTTAGGTTTGGTGTGTGTTCACAAGCAAAAACACCACAACAATGTGTCAGTTTAGAAGAGAGTTCAGCTATGGGCACACTTCAAATAAAAAGATCAGCCAAACATTTTTTAGAAAATGTTCCTGATTTTTTTTGTGTCTGAATAAAAGTATCCTTTTACTGTTCACCATCACACCAGTTTATTATCAGTCTTATTGGGTTGTTGTTTTGTTTCAGGTGGCGCCCCCTGTACAGGACGGGGAAACACCAGTGCTGCCCCCTGGCACTTTTATCACATGCTCCACCGACGACACGATACGTATTTGGAATCTTGAGAATCATATGACAGAAACAAAATGTTACAAACGCAATGTATTTTCAAATGTGAGTATTTCATGGTTATATGAAAGCTTGATGTAGGATTTAATAGTGGTGATTAAATAGAGGGTTCTGCTCAAGTAATGTTAAGAGTAATATCTTATAGTAAGCAGGAGTTACTGAGACACAGGTTTGTATATAATATTTGTTATTGAGGCAGTGATTATATAATCTCAGTAACTGAGACAAAATAGCAAGATAGTTGATAATGTAAAGGAGTTCCTGAGACATATGTTTATATATTTGTTAGTGACACAGTGTTTATGTATAATATCAGTAACTGAGACATGTTTGTGTTGTACAGGAGCTCCTGAGACACTGCCAAAAATCTGTGTAACAAATTTATTACCACTTTGAGTCCTTTATATTGGTTTTATACAATTCCCCGTCAACTTTTCTGTTGTCAAGATAAAAATGGCACAGTAGATTTACCTCATTTAGTTTCGTTTTATCAAATTCCTCGAACTGTTCGTCCTGATTCTTTTCTTTTAAATATGTCCTCAGCATGTTTGCCGCTCGTCTGTTCGACTTTTGTGTGTTTTGTGGTACATAGTTAGTCCTTTTGGCGAGTATTTCCTCATCAGTATGCGAAGCGAAACGTTTTGTCATTTTGTAAACAGCGCCGGAAGCAGACGACGAATGCGAGTTGTCTCCCGTTGCCCGGCGGCAAGATACAAAGACACGTGACCCGTATACCCCTTGTAAAAGCACGTGATTCCACAGTATTACTGCTGAGAATCATGTGACATGACCGTATACCCCCTGAGATTTTCGTATACCCCTTGAGATTTACGAATGCAGTTTGGTACACTGTAGTTTTTTACCAATCAGATTCCTAGATTTTTCTCAAATGGGTAAAAAATGTTTATATATTTGTTAGTGACACAGTGTTTATGTATAATATCACTAATGAGACATGTTTGTGTTGTACGGGAGTTCCTGAGACACATGTTTATATATTTGTTAGTGACACAGTGTTTATGTATAATATCAGTAACTGAGACATGTTTGTGTTGTACAGGAGTTCCTGAGACACATGTTTATATATTTGTTAGTGACACAGTGTTTATGTATAATATCAGTAACTGAGACATGTTTGTGTTGTACAGGAGTTCCTGAGACACATGTTTATATATTTGTTAGTGACACAGTGTTTATGTATAATATCAGTAACTGAGACATGTTTGTGTTGTACAGGAGCTGCTGAAGATCTGTTACATTGATCCCTCCATGATGTCTCTACGGGATGTCGACTATAACCCAGGTCAGTATCGTTCTTTGTTTTCTATAACCAGATTTGTGACAATGAAAGACCCTATATATTTCTATACATGGTAGGCAATACAATAATTACTGTTTGAAAGGAGTGAGTTACTTCCCTTAGACTGCTTTCCAATTTATAAAGATCATAATATTTTTTTTTACAAGATTTGGCTTGTGCTTTTCACAATGGTTTGTGTGTATTTGAATGTAATGTTCATTGTTTACCATATTTCCTCCTAATGTTATTATTTATTAATCACAGCTGGAGGGACAGACAAGACTGACACAAACTATGATGGTAAAAATGGTATCCGTTCTCTCTGTATCAGCCCAGATGGTCAGCATCTAGCATCAGGGGACCGGATTGGCAATGTGAGGTAAGTAGCCCAATCCCATCACAAACAGTAGTGTCTAGCATCAGGGGACCGGATTGGCAATGTGAGGTAAGTAGCCCGATCCCATCACAGACCAAAGTAGTGTCTAGCATCAGGGGACTGGATTGGCAATGTGAGGTAAGTAGCCCGATCCCATCACAGACCAAAGTAGTGTCTAGCATCAGGGGACCGGA